CACACCTGCCCAAAACCTTTGCACAGTACTGTACATGTACACAAAAGTATGTTCTAGAAAACATATAGAAGATTGAGAGGGAATATCAAACTCTGATATGACCTGGCTGCTTAAGAGAAAAAGCCTGATTGTGTTAGGCAAGAGGTGGTCTTAATGAACAAAAGAATAGAGAAAACACATGGGTGGGATTATAAAAGGAATTCTATCCAAATATTAGTATGTAGCTGGAAGGGACAAAGGAAAGTGAATTTTCACCAATGAGTAGTAGCATGAAAAGCCTTAGAGCAGGTGGTATACAGAGGTGACACCCTTGGGGAGGTGCAGACAGAGTCCAGGTGAGGTATAAAGAACTTTTTAGTCACATTGCAATAAAGCCACCTTTCCCAAAGTTTCATTGTACTGTATTGCTTTCATCGTTCATTTGTGTTCATTTTGGTGTTGAGATTTTTAGGGGAGGTATATACATTAAGATTACACTAAAGGGAGGCATGATGGCAAAAAGTTTAGGAACCCCTGCCTTAGAGGGATACCAATAATCTTGTTTCCAGATAGGCTCTCAAATGACAGGTAGTCTCATACCTTAACTGCAGTGGGATATCTATCTTCAAAATGGAAAAACTTACACATTATCTCCTCTTACAATGTATAATCCTAATACTACTTGTTCCACTCCTTGTGAAGAACTGAATACCCTTTCATGGCTCTCATCCAAAATCAAGTTGATTGTCTGATCAAAGCCCTTGAGAGTTCCCTAAAAATAGATACATAAATTAATGCAATGTACCAAATTCTCAAATTTTCACTCTTAAACATATTTGTTACATTTGTTAATTCTTTATTTCTCAGCCTTAAAAAATATGAACAGCAATCCATATTTAGATGGATTACAATAAATTATATATCAGCACTAATGCATGGGATTTGATAATTATACCCAGATCTGGGCTTTTGTTCCCTTCCTCCCTTCCTCCCTTCCGCCCACCAGCAAGTTTTGTGCACCAATCAATTACATCCACTTATTTCAGCTCATACATTCCAACCAAATCGGTTAGGGTTTTCGATTAATGGTTGACAGTTAACTCTGCAAATTTAGATACCCATGCTGTAATCACAACAAGGGCATCACACCAATTGATTATCTCCACAATGGGCAAAAAGTTCCTGAACATGAGATTTTAACACTAGTGGTAGGCAAAAAAGGCACAAGAGCCCACTTCTGATCTAAGTCAAACGTTTTAGAAAAGAACAAGAGTTTAAGAGGAAATCTTACCACAATCATTCGACCATCTGAAGTAATCACAGCAACGGTACCTGAAACTCTTATTAAAGAATAATCTTAAAGTACAATGTGTGTGTTTTGTGGGTATATATATACACACACATATACATGCATATAGATATATACACATACACACACACACACACACACACAAAGGAGAAGCTTAATCTTGCTAATGCCCTTTAAGAAACTTGACCTCCCCCATTCAAAACCAATGCTCTGGCAGTTTTAATGCCACCTTTTCCTGGTACAGAAATTTGACATTTGTGCATGTATGTAGCATATATATATATGTATCTGTCTAGATTAGATTATATCTACTGCTTCAAAGTGGCAATATCTAATCTACCTTGACTCAGATCAGCTCTAGTTAGCACTTAGATCATTTAGGCCAGTGTTTCTCAACCTTGGCAACTTTCAGATGAGTGGACTTCAACTCCCAGCATTCCCCAGCCAGCATGGGGAAGTTGCCAAGGTTGAGAAACACTGATTTAGGCATTCCAAGGTGATAAACAAGTCTACTGTTGTTTTTAAAAATCCTAGAAGGCAGCAACAAAAATCGCTTCAAAAACTAACAATTCAACCACCAGGGATTGAGATTCATTTGAGTGCATGTTTCCGCACATTGGTGAATCGAAAAGGTGTTGGATAAACCCTCCCCACCAATATTAGGGAGGGTTTAACCTTAATTTAAGTAACTCGCATTTGTGGCAAGCTCGACTAACCCTACCCATTTACTTCGCAATTCCTTATTCAACCGAAATTTCCTCATCCAGCAAACAGGGCTCGCAACAGGAAACCACCACTTGAAAAGACTGCAGGGAAATCCTTTCTTCCCCACTACCTGCTGCAATGAGAACCTAATTCCTTTTGCACTTTTCCCCCACCTGCAGCCAGCTGGCTAGGGGATGATGGGGTCTGTACCCCCAGCCCCACTGCAGATGAGCAATGTAGTACCACTTTCAAGAAAGCCTGGAGTCTGATGCACTGCCCAGGGTGTCGCTTTCATCCTACAGGCAAAGCCCGCCCCCTCCCGCACGAAATCGAATCATCCAAGCGGAACCGACTTTGAAAAAAATGAATAGCAGGGCTTGCAGCCAATTGCAAGCCGCCGAACATCCCTCGCGCGCGCAGCACAAGGGCGAAGACTGACAAAATGCGAAATTAGACCGGAGCCCCTGAATGCCTTAATTTCCAACCCATTCCCGCTTCCCCACTTTAGCACTCGCGTACTGTCGCCGCATTCCTGGCAACGGAAGGATACGGTTGATGTAGTTTTCCAGCGCGGAAGTCATAGCGACGGTCCCTGTTGTAATCCTACGGTCGGTCGCCCAGGGTAAGGTATCGCGAGACTTCCGGACCTTAAGCGAGAAATTAAGTCCTCTCACGTGGCATCCGGGCATGAGTTTTGGTCAGTGCTCACGCGCAACACCAAGTTCCGCGGCGCATGCGTCGGACATGTTCTTAAGATGTAGACTAGTTGTAGACTAGCCATATCTTCTCTGCAAAAGGGATGTTCAGGTTCCAATTTCCTTAAGTGAAATTACGATTCCCCGTACAAAAGAATGGCTCTGATTAGCTGGCCTATATGTTTTATACACTCCTGCAACAAACAGGAAAAAAAAGCCGAAAAAGGTTCATTCAATATTTAAAAATGGCTCCAAAGACACCTGAATGCAGTCTTCCTTCAGTGTTAAAGGGATACGTAGACTTCAAGGGAGAGGATTGGCCTTCGGGCGAGTCTATGGTGGCCGGATGTTATCGGTCTTTCTCGCGATTATACGCGATGGGCGGAGCAGGACTGGGACAGTCCGGGCGCTGCAGTGGCCGGGTTCGCTGCCGTTGGAAGAGGGGCGGGCGCCAGATGTGGGCTGCAAAAACCCGGACAACCGGTGGCAGCGGGGTCTGTTTTGCCGCTGTTCAGTGCTTGTCCGGATTTTTACAGCTCTGATCTCTCATCTTCTCTCTCTTCCCACTCCAGGGCTTTAGTGGTCTGTCTGAGTGGGAGAAGCGGTGCAGTGGAATAAAGCATCTGTCGCTGCAGAACTACGCCCGCAGTCGGCCCGCCGTCAGCTTACTTCCACTCGCATTTCAGAGTCGGAAGTAGTAGGGCTTCCCAGCCTGGCTGGGACAGAAATAAAGTCCGTGTATTTCGAAGCGCAGAGGAAAAATCCTTTTTCTCCGTGCAACGCCCCCGCCCCTTCCGTCCAATACACACCCGCCTTCGTTCCCAGCTGTGTTCGCACAGCATGCTAAGTTTGCTTGGCTTTAACCTTGCGGGGGTGGGAGTTGGGGACCAGATCGCTTTTGACGTGTACCATATTAAAGTGGACGTGGCCCGTTATTTCATAGTTTATTGCGCGAATGCAGAAAGTGGATTCATTCAGTAAGCGAGGCGTGTTCGAATGCAACCTGTCTGAAGCCGAAAAGCGCTCAGCAGAACAAAACAGGCGGCTAAAGCAGTATTTGCCGCTGCAGACGTTCGTAGCAGTAGCCACGCTATTCTGCTCCACGGTGGTTTAACAGAAATCTGAATGCAGCACTGAGAAGCTAGGCTGAGTTCCTCGTTCTACAGAGCGCGGTGGATTTACAAAGCCATCCGAAACAGTGAATGGGTGCATGAGATAAATTTGCCTGTTGCTTCAGGGAGCGTCTTGGTGCCATATCCAAACTAAGGGTCTGTTAGATCCCCCAACATTTTGGCCAGTAGATGCATGTGGAATTTTGAGAACAAATTGTGAATGCTTTAGCTGCCATGGGGAGGCAGGTTGCAGTCACAAAACAAGAGACAGATAAAGCAGAATGTTGAGGAGGAGATCTGTGGGTGCGTTGATTCCTGCAGGCGTTACATGGGGGGGGAGGGGGGGATTGAGGGCAGCAATAAGACCTTGTGGTCAGAAGATGAGATTTGTAAGTGTGAATCATGTAAAACTGCAGGTGGCTTGGCATAAAAGAGGAAAGTTAGAGATAAGGGGAGTGTTAGGGATGCAGTAAACTGGAGGCTTGACCGAGAGGTACCCTTCACTTAATTAGCATAGCAAAATACCCCAAAGGTGGGAATTTTAGAAAACATACAACATGCTAAGCTTATTATGGGATGTTCATATGTAACATGGAATCAGGTGCATCTGTGCAACATTGTAACCAATTATAGCTATTTTCTTATCTCAATGTAACCAATTATGTTTATTCCCTTTTTTTTTCAACAAGTATAAAAATAGATGTAGAAGTTTGCTTGGGGCTCCTCTCCCTTTAGCAAGATGGAGTCCTTTTTCTTGAAGCGCTTCAATAAAAGGAAGAACAGCCAATTCTCGTCTTTGGGGTCTTATTGGGCAGGACCCGGGGGAAGGGGGCTCCACACTTTGCGGCAGACAGGATCTCTGCTGAAATTGTCCACGTTCTAAACACTGAGCTCACAGAAGAATCCTTTTTCCTTGCTCAGCAATATTCAGTAAATACTTAAAAGGACTTTCAATATGTTAGCACACTAATCTGGAAATACAGAGTATATAATCCAAAATACATCACTTAAGTGGAAAGGGTGGAATGCAGGCAAGCAGGAAAAAATGCATGAACTTTTCTCCATATCAGCAATGCATACTGTACATGCATATTTAGAAACAAATTCCATTGAGTTTAGTAGGCTTTATTTCCAGATAGCTGGGGAGTCCTTGGTGCTCTCTGAGCTTGGTTGTTTGCTTGCAGATGTTTCATACCCAACTAGGTAACATCATCAGTGTGGGTAATTGTGGAGTTTGCTCTGTTTGCCAAAATCCTAGGTAAGGAGCTATGACTAGTGGAGTCCTTGATGCTCTCTGAGCTTGGTTGTTCGTTTGCAGACATTTTGTTACTCAACTAAGTAACATCATCAGTGCTAGTGAGTGTGGGGTTTGCTCCATGTTTATGTATAGTAGCTTGCCCTGCCAGTGTTGGTGGAGGTGCAGTTTTCTTCTTGGTAGTTCCTTGATTAAGGTATTGTTCTCTGCTTGATTGTTTGCCAGGTGTTAATCCCTGCTTATCTGGGTGTTGGTTGCTGGAGAGAATGTGTTCTGATCTTTTGTTCCTTCTTAGTTTTTTTATTGTCTCTTTTGAATGGTGTGTAAATATGTGTATTGATGGCTGATTTGTCTGAATGCCAAGCTTCCAGGAATTCCCTAGTGTTTTTGGATTTAGCTTGGTCGAGAATGCTGACAGTTTCCCAGTGAAAACTGTGGCTGAGTCTGTCCGTGCATTGTGAGATTAAGGAGTTTTCATCGTATCTTCTGACTGCTAGTTGGTGTTCATGGATGTGCTCTGCTAGTCTTATGCCTTTCTGTCCTACATAATGGCTATTGTAGTCCTTACACTGTATGTTGTAGATGACTCCTGTTTTTTTCTTCTTGTGCTACTAGGTTTTTGGTTTGCTTAAGATGTTTTGGAGGACTTTAGTTGATTTGTGTGCTACGTAGATGCTGTATGGTTTTAATAGTCTGTTGATAAGAAGATGTTGTATAGGCTGTTTCCTTTTTCTGGTTTTCTGGTTGCTGCAGTGCATCTGTGCTCATTTGAATAATGTTCTTACACAGCTCCTCTTGTGGGAGGTTGGGTTGTTACTTTGTTGTTTTTGATAGACCGTAAAATATTTTGCCATATATTATCAAGCATCTCTCAGTTATCATCTCTGTCTCACTGTGCACTTCCAATGCATATGGAACATATCCATATTGATAGATAATATTGTATTTTAGTTGTCATTAGCTATCTTGATATTTCCTATTAAAAGGCCTGTTACCACTGTAATAATATTAAAAACAGGACGCCCACAGAAGACTTGAGGGAATAAAGGGGCAAAAATGGTTGTGTAATATATTCTGCTCTAGGCCTACATTTAAAACTCATTCCAGAAATTAACATTCATTAAAATTGATATGATGCTAAAGTTATATGATGCATAAACTCCATCTGGTCAGACTCTACTGAGACTGTGAAGGCAGCCCTGTGCGGAGCAGAGCTTATCACACTGGGGTTTCACAGTGAACTCACAGGGGCACCATCAATATTTTTACTACTTAATAAACGGAACTGTTAGTTTGCTGAAGTACCCCACAGTGCCATGGCACACAGTTTGGGAACCACTAGGGGCACTGTGAACTGAAACTTTGGGAACCTTTGCTCTAAAGATGGCTCAGGTTGGAAAACAGGTTTGAATCAAAGCTGGAAAATGTGGGAGAAGCATGCATTTCCAATGGGCTGGGAGTGGGAAGGCACATTGCCCTTTCCTAAACTCAGGAAGCAATGGGCCAAGTAGAAAATGCAGATCTAACCCAAGTCAGATGAAGTTATTTTCTCAGTGGAGTTGATCATGGCCCTCTTTTCCTCTCTCCCATATCACACATTTATTTTATGTATACTAATTCTAGTAATGTTGTTCCTGTGTATCTGAAGCAATTGTGAGGGATGATCCTGTGCTTATCCATCATTCCAGGGGCCCCTGGAGGAGAGCCTTCTCTGCCGTTGCCCCCACCCTTTGGGATATTCTCCCCCCAGAGGTGCAACGGGCCCCTACCCTCCCGGCTTCCCAAAAAGGTTTAAGGAGCTGGCTCTGCCAGTGTGCATGGGGCGATATGTGCTCTAACCACCCTTGAAGGTGGTTAGCATGCTGACGACACTCCCCAACTTTCCATCTTGCTTTTTTATAAAATAAAGCTATTTATTACTGTGTCTGTTTTATATTGTATTTTAACAAATTTTATTTTTTGCTGTAAACCACCCAGAGTCATTTCAATGAGATGGGGTGACAAATTTGATAAATAAATAAATAAATAAATAAATAAATCCTAGGTGGAGAAATCCAGAGGACTTGCATACCTCTGATTCAAGGCAAAGGGTCATTTTTGGTGTATGTCCAAGTTATTTAAAAAGAATGGCTGTTTAATATGTTTTTGTTCTGATTGTATGCTATTCTTTTCTCTTCTCTCTGTTTGTACCTTAATGTTTTAATTTGCTGATCACTGATCATGGCTGAAAATCTAAATCTATGACTTTTTTTAACTATACGTAGTTTTCTGAGGCTTATTTCCAAAGATCAGGATCAACATTACCTTTTCCCATAAGGAGCACAATTTGCAGTTGAGATATACAAGTTTGCCCATTTTGCACATAGACCATATGATAAATTTGGATCCTGATTCAGAAAACAGCCCCTTTCACTTCTGAGAGTTCAGAGAATTGTAATGTGTCTTAAAGGCCCACCCTATGAAAATCAGTGTTTTTAACAGAATAAATAGTCAGTGCTGTTGTCCATATTGCCAAGGACTTTTGCTAACATGAACCAGGTGATTTTAGGGCAGTCACTCTCTCAGCCTAGCCTACC